CTTTAAGCCCAATCCCTGCCTCCCTCCTCATCCCTCCCGGTGCTCAGTTTCCCCTTTTAAGGACATTGTGGAGACATCCAGCCTCCCAGCACCCACTGTGGCTGAAGTGTGTGTGTGGGTTCCTCTGGCCCAACAAGTGGGCAGGGGAGGAGCGGGCAACATCCTTGTTCTGAGCAGTCCATGGGGGTTTCTGCCACAACCAGGCCACCCGTAGACCTCCGAATTTGATCCCTTTTCTGATGTTACCCTGCCATCCCTCTGGTCACAAAAACATGAGGCCTCCCTTCCCCCAGGGCTGAGCTTGGATGAGGAAGGTGTGGGCACGGACAGATGCTCAGGCCTGCAAGTTCTGACCTCCATTCCCCAAAAGCGACCCACACCCCCTACTCCAGGGGTCCCACAAGCTGCAAAGGCATTTTTGAGTCTCTGTGTCTGGGACACCAGGGCTCAGGGTAGGGGCAAGGGGCCACCGGGCTAGGGGCAGGGCTCTTTCGGGCTCCAGCGGCCTCATGGGGTCCCGGCGAGTCTGCGGAGGCCCCGGGGCCTCCCTGCCACTCACCATTTCTTGGTGCACTCCACCACCAGCTCGTGGTAACAGGCCACAAACTGGAACTTGGCGGCCCGCTTGCCCACGCGCTGCAGGCGCTTCCACACCGAGGTCATGGCCCCCGCCGCCCCCGCCGCCGCCTCCTCAGACTCGGGGCTCCCGCTGGCCCGCTACCGCGGGCCGGGCCTGGGTCCCCATGGCCTCCCGGGCTGCTCTCCGCGCTGCCCGCCCCGTCCGTCGGAGATGTCCGAGGCTCGGACCCGGGGCCGATCACCCCGCTGCCCGCGCTGGGGCCCGCCGGGTGGTCCCGCTGAGTCGGCCGGGTCGTCCGGGGCGCGTCGGGTCCCGGGAGCGCTAAGCCGCGAGCGCGCCGTTTCCTGGAGCCGCACCCCCGTCGGAAGGCGGGCGGGGCTCCGGCGGGGGGCGGAGGCCGGGGCCGGGGCGGGAGCGGGGGGCGGGGCGGCCCGGCTTCCGGGGCCTCGCGCCGCCACCGCGGTTGCGGAAGGGGGTGGGGGGGCGTACCAAGGGGAACGCCTCGACCGCAGCGCCCGTTCGCAGGGCGCGGAGGCGGTGTGGACGCGCGGGCCGGGGAGAGAACTACCAGCAATTTGGTGCGGCCCTGGCGAGCACTGCCCTGGCCGCCACCCTTCCTGCCCTCAGCCGTGGGAAGTGCGTACTGATGGCCCCATTTCACAGATGGGGGAAACAGAGCCCCAGAAAGAACAGACTTGCTCAGGGCCACACTGCGAATCTGGGCCAGAGCCAACTGTCAACACTAGGGTGGCAGACTCCTGCTGTCACCCAGGTCTCAACCTAAGTGGGAAGGAGCAGAGTCGGGGGTCAACCTGGGTGGCCCTACCTGTGGGCAGCAGGGAAACTGACTCCTTAGCTACCAAGTGGGAAGATAGTCCCAACATCCCACAAGCAGCTGATTTCCAAGTGTGTGACCTTGGGCAAAGTAGTAACACTCTGAGCCTCAGTTTCAACCTCTGTTAAATAGGGATAATTATAGTTCTGACTCTTACACAGTCGCTAAGAGTATGAAATCTTGGGAAGCATTCAGTACGGAGACTGGCTGATTTCCTGGGGTATCATTGAACGGAATCCCTTATCGCAGGCTGGAAAGTGTGTGTGTGTGTGTGTGTGTGTGTGTGTGTGCGCGCGCGCGCCTGCACACACGTGTTTACTCTCCCTCCCCTAAGAAGCCTGCCGCAGGCGTTAGCCGCCTTGTTCACACCTAGATTAGAGCCCTTATCGCCTACCCGCTGGCCCAGCATGGTAATGAGCACCTGCAGGTATCAGGCCCAGAGTTAGAGAACTACCCTGGGGCAGCGCATCAGCTTCTTTCCCTCCCTGCCAGCACTCAGCAAGATTTGTGAAAGGACTGCAACCTGGTGCTTAATAGATTCTCGGTTTGAACAGGGTATCTGATCTGCCAAGAGTGCCCGCTGTTGTCTCCAGAGGCAAGTGCCTGTGCACAGGGCGTGGGGGTGAGCAGCCTGCACGCCTAAGTGTGTAACTTCGAGGTCCTCTCCTCTTCGTCTCAGGGAGTTGTGGGGGTTTTATGTGTGTGCCTGGAGGTCTGAACACCCACCATCCCCAAATGTGCAGGCTGCTTCCGGCGAGCCTGACACGTGGGTTTGGCTCTCAGGCCCAGCGGTGTGGTCCTCGGTTTCCTCTGTAAGAGAAAGCCCCTTACATACAGGCCTAAAGGCTCCAAGTGCTGTGGGGTAGCCAGGCGGCCTGTATGAGAGTTAAGGGCAGAATGGGAGCCTCTGGCACCCAATCACACCTCACCGAAGGTGGATCTCGTGCCCTGGAGCGCAAGGCCCTGCCCCCTTCCCCCCGCCCCCTCGCCCAGGGCTTATGTGGCCTCTAGGGAGGTGTGGGCCAACGCAACTTCACCCCCTTCTGCCTCTGCAGCTGTTTCCTCCCACCCAAAGGGCACTCACTAGCTCCCGGGCCCTTCCCGGAGGCGCCTTCCCCTCTCCCGCCGAGGGGCCCCTAGGCCCGCTGGCTCAGGCCCACCCATTTCCTGTGCCGCCCCAACCCCGCCCCCACTTGGGGTGGAAAGTTTTTCTCAAGATAGGCGGCTCCTTCTCCTTCCTTCCCGGAGGACCAAAGCGAGTTGGGGATGGGCGGGGGGAGGGTTGGGCTCCCAGATCTCCGGCCAGAGGGGAAGTTACTCGCCCGCCGTCGCAGACCGCGGGACTAGCTCGGCCGGCTCCGCTTGTTCCCCAGCCCGGTCGGTGGAAGGAGGATTCGCACTCCGTCGCGGCAAGCCTTTCTTCCACTCCGGGGTCTTGGGCGCCACCTGCCGGCGGAGCGCGGGACCGCACTTTCCAGAAACTATTTCCCCGCCCCAGAGCCAGGCATTCAAAACACAAGAATGCAGAGAGAGTATTTATTTACCTATGTGCCCAAGAGTCTGGCCCCTAAACTTAAATATCCAGCACGGAACCTTGGCCCTCCCGGCCGTGGGTGGGTGCAAGAATGGGGATGCCCTGGTCTAGAGCAGTGGAACCCAGAGAGCAGAGGTGGGATGCCCCTGAGCCAGCAGCTGCCAATAGCAGCAAAAGGTGAAAAGGAGATGGGAACCAGGCACTCATCCCAATCCCAGAGACGTCGAGGGGAGTGCCAGATGCTTTGGGCCCCACCACCAGACTGACGGTTGGCCAAGCTGGGGTGCACACATGTGAGAGTAGAGGAGGTCCAGTGCCAGGGGCAAAGGCTGTAGCCCAGCTGCCTGCCCCAGTACTAGCTAACCAGAGTCAGGAGAGGGGGTTGGCAACTTTGCCTCTGAGGGTCCCAAGGCTTGCCTTCTTGTGAAGTGAGGTGGTACAGGGGGAAGCAGGCACTATAAGTCTGAGTACCTAGTAAGGGGTGAGTTTCTGAGCCTTTTGCAGGGGTGCACTTTCCCCCCACCCCCAGCTCTTCAGAGGCTGATGTGAAAGGCGTCCTGCAGCCACTGGTCCCGGGCATTGTGTGTCTGGGGCACAGTGAGGGGTGGCGGGTCCGGGGGCAGGCTGGCATCAGGAGGCTCATCGTCATCAGACAGGCCAGCATCAGGTGGATAAGAGCTGTCTGAGTGCAGGGAGGATGACAGGTCCTGGCACAGGCTCAAGTCTTGGCACAGGTGCTTATAGTCTTGGATTGACTCGTACAGACCCCACAGCTGGCACAGCAGGGACATGTCCAGCTGCCGCAGCCCCACCTGCAAAAGACTGAGGGTGGGCTGGGGTTGGGGTCCAGGCCACCCTCAGCCCTAGCCAATCTTCCTGCACCTTTCTAAGCACAAAGTTTTCTGGACAGCAGACGCCACCTGCAAGCTGTGACTCTAGGCAATCACTGACCCTCACCTGTAAAATGGGGATAACATTTACCTAGGAAGATGGAATGAAATAACACGAAAAGAGCACTGAAAATACATGGTAACTATTGCCATAAACGGTAATTATAATCATTGTTACTATATCCCCTCTGACCCAACCGGCTTCTGCAGTTCTTCTGAGACTCAAGCCATGAGTTCCCGGTTCTGTGCCTCTGGCTGAGCTCCGCCCGGGGACCCTCACGCTCAGCGGCAGCCCTCCGCCCCGCTGGCCCGGGGCCCAGCCACTCACCATCTCCTTGCGCAGGGCTGCTAGTGCTGAGTCGAGATTGACAGGGCGACGCGGGCCGAGGGGACCAGCGGCGGGTCCCGCGTTGGTGGCGCCCGCAGCGTAGCGGGGCCCATCTGGGATGCGGGCCGCGCGGCTCAGCTCGTCGTGGATGCGGCTGCGCTGGCTGTAAACGCGCTCCAGCTCCCGCCACGAACCCCCGCTTGCGTTGAGGAGACCGCTGAGGCCGCGCGGTAACGGAGGGAGCCCGGCTAGGGCGCAGCCAGCGCCGCCCGGCGCCTCGGCCGAGGGCAGCCCATTCATGGCCCAGCCGGCGCGGACGGCGATGCTGCCTCCTTCCCTTCAACGCTCCGCCCGGGCCGCAGCCCGCAGGCCCCGCACCGCGCGGCCCCGCCGGCTGAGCCAAGCCGCCGCCCGCAGGCCGCGCTTTGTTCCTTCCCCGACTCCTCCGACTCCGCCCCTGCCCCACCCCCTTTGCATGGGCGGGGCCTCTCTTAAAAGGGCTACGGTGGTGGCGCCACACCGTGAAAAGCAGAGAAAAGGAATGGGGCAACCACAGGAAGGGAGCCAGGAAAAGGGGCGGGCGAAAAGACCAAAAGCGGCGAACGCGGTTCCTTTAAGGTTCTTTTTCGCTCCCCCCCCGCAACAATGTGTTTAATTAATCTGCTCAATTTTAACTCCCAAGAGAAAGGATCTAACCCCCGGGGGTGGAGGATCGAGAGACTTGGGTAAGTCCATACTTGGTCCCTAACGGTCAACCTGACGCCCTGTCAGTGTCTCAGTGTCTGAGTACCTGGGCTGGGCATGAGGTGGGTCAGGATGATGGTATCAGAATGCTCAGGGGAAGGAGAAGGTAACCAAAGGGGACTGGAACCCAAAATCACACTCAAGGGTGGGAACTGAGCACTGGATGGCCGAGGAGGCTGCAGGGATGCCGCAGAGGTCCACCCCTCTTGTTCCTGCTTTTGAGGGAGGCTATGACCTCCACCTCAGAAAAAAAGTGTCACATAATCCTCTCCCTCCTCCCTCATTCGGAGTGGGGGAAACCAAGCACAAACAAGCCCAACTAATCTCTCAGGGCATCAAGGAGCGCAGACTGGTAGGGTAAGAGGCAAAGGTAGGAAAAAGACGAGTGGAGCTGGAGCTGGCATGCACACTCAGAACCAAGAAAAGAACAAACCACACAAGAGGACAGCTGTTTTTCTGGACAGGGTTTTTCTCAGGAGGGGCCTCTTAGTGTTGCAGCTGCCGAAGGCTGCGCAGAGCCTCAGCACAAGCCCGGATTAGGCTACACAGCTGGATGCTAGTCTCCAAGGAAGCGCTAGAGCCCAGCTCAGCTGAGGCCCAGGTCAGCTTCTGCAGGAGGGCCTCCTGTGTGCAGGCCAGGACATCTGCATTTGGAGGCACAGCAGGAGGGGGTGGCCCCTGGGCTGCCTTGAGCCCTGCTGCAGCTCCCTCACAGTGCTCTGGACGGGGTACTGGGGGCTGAGGGGCTGGCCGAGAGCCCAAGGGGAGCTCCGAGGCAGAGGCAAGCTGGTGTTCCCGAGCTTGGGAGAGGGCAGCCTGGGCATTCAGAGCTAAAAGAGGAGAAAGTGGGTGGAATGGTCAGGAAGCCTGTCCCCCATCAGCCCTGGGCCACCTCCTTATTCCTTACTGCTCTGCTCTTTCTATGCTTGAGATGTTTTTCCTGCCCCTCTATAAAGTAACTCATCCATTTTCTTCTTTGTGCCAGAGTTATCTATGCCCTTGCTTCATCTCTCCCATCAGGACTATGCCCGATTGAGCTCAGACTCTTTATAGTGTCTGGCACACGGGTATTTAGTGCTCCTACTGAGTGAATGGTCCTCTCTAGAGCCGTAAAGGGAAAGTATCTTACCTCCGCCTCACCCAGACACTCCACTGTCCCCTCCCAAACCTACTGTTCCCGGGCCTCTCTCACCACGCAGCTTCTCCACCAAGCATACTCGGCCTCTCACCCGGATTATCTTTATCCACGTCTGAGTCGAGCTCCTGACAAGCCACGCAGTAGATTTTCCGCTGTTTGTCTTGGAGGAGGATCGTCTAGAAGCAGAGTGCACGGGGACACGGATGAGACGCAGGGCGATGGGGTCCAGAGGGGAGAGTTGGGAAAGGGCCGTGCGGCCTGGTCCGCGGCCCCATTCCGGATCCCACGTCCCGAGCCTCTCCTCACCCCGCAGTCCGCGCACGTCTCGCCCAGCATGCGGTAACCACGCAGCAGGTAGTCGCCCATGAGCCGGGAGATGCGATCCTGTCTCTCCCTTCGCGCTTGCAGAACCTTCGTTTCCGCTTCGGTTGGGGGCTCCCAGGAGAAATCGTCGGCTTCTGGGGGAAGAGAGGCACAAGAGACAGACGGGTCTTGCCCGAGTGGGATACCTCCTGCACCCCGCAACCACAGGCCCCCAACAGCCCAAAGCCTCACCAGCACCGTTCAGAGCCATGTTGCCGTTGTCGCCAGTGGGCTCACCGGACGTGACGTACAAGCAGAGCGCTTTCCGCTCGGCTCCGCCCCCTCCATTTAGGCCTAGGATGAGGGCGGAAATGGCGCCTCTCAGACGTCAAGTTGCCCATAGTGGGGCGTGTCTGCTGCAGGAGACCCTGGCCTGTGGGCGAGCCCCTCAGCCAGAACCCGGTAGACGATCTTTGGGCTGGCGGGCCGCAGGAGGGGAGTCTCCGGGGTAACGCCGCTCGGGTCGCAGAACCTGAAAGTGGCTACGCGGGCTCGCCCTTCTCGCCCGCCGCAGATGGAGAAGACCACTTGGCATGAGAAATCCCCTCTGGCCTCCATCTCCCCTTGGATTTCCCTTTCCGCACAGGTCAGACCCGGGGCAGGCGGGGCAGTGGCGTAATCAACAACACCCTTGATGATAACAAGTGGTCCCTTGAGCGCTCGTACAGCCTATTCAGTCCTCAGTGCTTCTCACTTCCACCGGCAAGGCAGGCCAGGCGGGGGTCGTTCTCCCTTTCTATACCTTTCAGCCTATTTCAAAACACCCTCACCCCCTTCTGCATGTTTGGAGGCCCAGTCTGCCGATCCCCTTAACCCCAGGGCCTGGGACTGACGCGAAGTGCGCCCCTCACTTTTTTTTTTTTTTTTTTTGAAGTTTAAGCCCCGAAAACGCTGTACTGGGCATGCGCAGGTCCGGGTCCAGCAGTTGCGGAGGGATTCCCGCTGGATGGTGAGATTGAAGGACCTATAGTTATGCTTATGACCGTTATGCTTTTTTTAGGTGGGTCTCTGTTAAAATTACTAGTGCTCCCTAAACACTGGCCTTGATTTATCCCCCCCTTCCGTGTTCTTTTTCTTTCCCTTATTAGATTTGGAGAAGCCAGATGGGGCAGACAATGGTGCCCAGATGTGCAGCCTGAAGTGCCTTAAGGCGGTACACCTAAGGGCAGGGGAGAAGGAGCTAGGATTTAGACCCTCTTAATCTCATTGGCAACCTCCTTCTTTAACTAGACAGCACGTGCTTCTGCATTCTTACCTGAAGATTGAATGCCCTCCTCCTGGCCCCATCTTCCTTCTACATAGACTCCCTGGAGCAGCCGTTTTCTGACCTTATTGCCCCCTGCTTACTTGGAGAGTCCTGTGCCCCTCTTCACTCTCTCCATCTACCGGCAGGCTCTTGGGCAGCAGTGTTCCTGACTCAAGGCCTGACCCCAGGTCAACTCCACCAAGCTGACTAGAGGAACTCTTGGACTCTAGCCAGCTTGTACAGACCCTCCAGGTCCATACTGTCTTCAGCTCCCAGCCCCATCCTAAATTCCTCAGTGCACCCTTCTGTGTCATCATCATGGCCAGTATCCACTCGGCCAACAGCTTCTTCTTCCTGGCACCAACTAAGACCCTGGCACTCATCCTCCTGTTTAATCCCTGTCATTTACTCCTCATGACAGCCTTATCGGGAAGGTACTACTGTTATCCCCATTTTACAGAACAGGAAACAATAATTCTTTTAAAACATAAATCAGGAGACACCTAGGTGGCTGTTGGTTAAGTGTCTGCCTTCGGCTCATGTCATGATCCCAGGGTCCTGGGATCGAGTCCCACATCAGCCTCCTTGCTTGGTGGGGAGCCTGGTTCTCCCTCTGCCTGCTGCTCCCCCTGCTTGTGCTCTCTCTCTCTGACAAAATAAATAAACTCTTTTTTTAAATCAATCAGTCAATCAGAGGGTGCCTGGGTGGCGCAGTTGGTTGAGCATCGGACTCTTGGTTTTGGCTCAGGTCGTGATCTTGGAGTGGTGGGATTGAGCCTCACATGGGACTCTGCGCTCAGCTCCCTCTCCCTCTGCCCCTCCCTGCTGTGCTCTCTCTTTCTCTCTCTCTCTCTCTGTCAAATAAATAATAAATAAATCCTTAAAACATAAATCAGGTCATATCACTCTTTTGCTCAAAAGTCTCTGGGATCTCCCCATCACACTTAGCCAAAAATCCAAAGTCCTTACTATGGTCTCCAAGGTCCTACAAATCTGGCTCCTGGCCCCCCTCAACCCTTCCCTCCCTCCCTACAATCCCCTCCCACTACTCAACAGAATTCCCATCACCTTTCTCCCCTCCAAGCCCCTCCCTTGGACAAGGCACAGGCCTGGAAACAGGTTGGCCTGGGTTTGATCCCGGATCCGCTGCTTACTGGCTATGTTACCAGGAGTAATTCACTTCACTTCTCTGGACTTCAATTCCTCATCTGTGAAACCAGGTCAGTTATACCTACTTGGCGCGGTTGCCGTGAGGATTTAGTGAGATGTGAGGAAAGAGGTGGTAGGAGGCCATTGACTCCTAGTCTCTTGCATGAATGCAGTTGCAGCAAGCAGAGACACTACCTTGGTTCTGGACTGTCTTTTTCCAGGATGTTTGTATAGTGAACAGCCTTGGACAGTAGAGATAACTGGCTCCCTCTAGAGCAAAGGGCAGGCATACTTACTGCCCATTATAAAATACCCGGATGCCCCAAGGTCAGAGTTCCTCTACTATGACACAACTCAGCCTGTGTGTAGGCATCCATATGAGTCCACCTGCCTTGTTTGGTGAGACTTGAGGGTAAGGGGAAGTGACAAATATGCTCATGTTCATAACACTTGGGTGCTGTGAGGGCGCCTGGGTGGCTCAGTTGCTTAAGCAACTGCCTTCGGCTCAGGTCATGATCCTGGAGTCCCAGGATCGAGTTCCGTCCGCATCAGGCTTCCTGCTCAGCAGGGAGTCTGCTTCTCCCTCTGACCCTCCCCCCTCTCGTGCTCTCTCTCTTCCATTCTCTCTCTCTCAAATAAATAAATAAAATCTTTTAAAAAAAAACACGTGGGTGCTATGAATAATAACGTCTTTAATCTCTGCCTTAGAAGTCTCACGTCTTCTGCCAGTATCCATGAAATTGTGTCACCATAACTTGTTTATTTGAAAATAGGGTGAAATGAGTGATTTGAAATAGGGTGTTTATTTGAAAACAGGGCTAAACTCTTTCACAATTCTTGATTGTTTGGGCACTGAGGATGAGATACTGACAGAAACACGGTTTTTGGTATGAGGAAGTATGAGGACCTCATGCGTTTACTAACAAGTTTGGAGGGAAGGCCAAGGGAATCAGCAGTACACACGTGGACCAGATTATATAATCAACCAAGCAATAAATGGGCTTCAAATTTATTTCCTGTTCGTGAGAACAAATTGGGGAGGTAGTTGCCGGTGGAGAACCTGGACGTAGATTCAAAGTCAGCTGCCAAACGTCATCCAGGTGGTTGCTAACTCTCCTCTGGGTGGGACAGGGGAGCGGAGGGGTCAGCTTCAGGTCTGCCCCATTGTAACAATCAGTACTAAGACTCATCTGGGGCATACAGAAGTTTCTATCCCCTTTCAGACGGCACACACACACACACACACACACACACACACACACACACACTAAACCTGAATGGAGGGAAATTTACTACCACTACGGACGAAAACCAGATGAATCATTAGAATTTTGCTGGCTCACTTGGGAGGTGAGAGGAAAGACATGTGCTGATTGTTAAGGAAGAATAACAACAGCTGAGCCATCTTACAGCTCAGTCCTTCCTACCGTCTGTCACGCCAATCTTATACCCACTCCAAGATGACAGTAAAAGGTCTCAGTTTTGTTTTTTTGTTTTCCTTCCAGTGAGTCCTGGCTGCTATAAGGGAGCTTTATCCCACCCAGGGAGACTCTCTTGAGACAGACCAACTCCCATAGAAAACCACGATGAGTCATCGATAACTCTTAGGGTTCTTATTGTCTTAGTTTGGGTTTACGACGCTGCCTAAGGTGACACAAAGAGATCTAGTTAACTTCTTGTGATCAGCTCCACTGTCATAGAAAACGCTCCTAGCCCTTACATTAAAACCAGGCAAAAACAAGATGTCATTATCACAGCGAGATAGAAATAGCCTCTACCAAGGTAGACTCCTTTATTGTGCTTCTTTTTTTAAATTTTTTTAATTTATTTATTTGAGAGAGAGAGAATGAAAGATAGCACAAGAGGGAAGAGGGTCAGAGGGAGAAGCAGACTCCCCGCCGAGCGGGAGCCCGATGCAGGACTCGATCCCGGGACTCCAGGATCATGACCTGAGCCGAAGGCAGCCGCTTAACCAACTGAGCCACCCAGGCGCCCTCTTTTTTTTTTTTTTTTTTTTTAAGTAGACTCCATGCCTAGCATGGAACCCAACGTAGGGCTTGAACTCATGACTCTGAGATCCAGACCTGAGCTGAGATCTAGAGTTGTACGCTTAACTGACTGAGCCACCCAGGCGCCCGTCAAGGTAGTCTCCTTTAAAAGAAAAGTCACAGCTGCACAACTCCAGCCCAAGTCCTGACAGACATCTATAGAAGAACACTCCACCCATGGGCGCCTGGGTGGCTCAGTCGTTAAGCGTCTGCCTTCGGCTCAGGTCATGTGGGATCGAGCCCCATATCGGGCTCCCTGCCCAGTGGGAAGCCTGCTTCTCCCTCTCCCACTCCTCCTGCTTGTGTTCCCTCTCTTGCTGCGTCTCTCTCTGTCAAATAAATAAATAAATAAAATCTTTAAAAAAAAAGAAGAACACTCCACCCAACAATAACAAAATGCATATTCTTCTCAAGTATACATGGAACATTCTCCAGAATAGACCATATGTTAAACCATAAAACAAGTCTCAGTAAACGTAAAAGGGTTGAAATCATACAGAGTATGTTCTCAGACCCCAATGCAATGAAATTAGCAATAACAGAAGGAAATTTGGGAAATTCACAAATATGTGGAAATCAAACAACACACTCTTAAATAATTAATGGGCCATGGAAGAAATCACATGGGAAATTAGAAGCTTCTTTAAGATATATGAAAACAAAAACACAACATACCAAAACTTATGAGATGCAACGAAAGCAGTGCTTAGAGGGAAATTTATAGTTGTAAAATCTTATATTTAATAAGGAAAAAAAGACCTAAAATCAATAGAAAATAGAAAAAGAACAAACTAAACTCAAAGCAAGCAAAAGGAAAGCT